GCTTCCAGTATTTCTTTGCCCAAGTTCACTTCAGACTGGTGTTCACCAATCGCTTCCCAGTGGAACCGACTGTTGTTTTCTAACGATGATAACCCTCTCAGTGTTTTATCTAGGTCACATGTTGATCAAGTAAGGACTAAGGCTGATCAGAATATTGCCGGTCATGAAGGCATGACCTAGGGGACTTGGTTACATGGATCGCATTAAGCTTTCGGGTTCAGAACCTGGTGATCAACTTAACCACTGAGTAGAAACGCAGTGATATGATTGAAAGTCGTGGGCCAGGGTCACTCGCGTGTCTACTTAGTTTTCACGTCTACTTCTTTCTTCCAATAATATCACCCTCATTGCTCAACTAAATGACTCACCGAAATACATCAACAAAAACTAACACGGAAGTGCAAGGTAAATGGTAGAACTGACGGAACTAAAGTCTTCACTCATTCTTCTAGTTATATAATTATCTACAATGAACTAAACGGTTCGTTCAAAACCAGCAGATGTACTTTAGAAGGTGGCCCTATCTCAATTGTTCTGTTTCGTCATGTACGGAACATTGAAGACTAAGTGGTTAGAGTCACTGAGCGATATGGCTGGGTGTCGCAAACAGTGGCACTCGTGCATTTACTCATTATTCTTGCGACCCCAGTCTGTATGAATTCTCTATTTTCGCTTCGACTCTGCTCTCAACATTCCAATCTTCATTCTGCTCTCTTATCCAAATGAGAGGTCAAAAGACGACAACCAAAAAGTGCATGGCTAATGATTATGAAAACTGAAACTGAAACTTCAAGTGCCTTTTCCAATATCCATTTTGAACAAGCATTCGGATCAAAATTGTGCTATTTAGAGGATGCAGAAGTTGTCTTTTGCTTGTTTGAATGGACGGAGCCTGCGCATGGCATGCTTGATATGCGTTTTGCGCCCTTACAACGAAATTTATGCTGCATAACTGCATTAGAGTTCGGTCGTCACGAGTAAACTGAAATCAATTTCGATAGCACAGCAAAAGTGGTTATCTTCCAAAGTTCGAGTGACGGAATGCTAAACTGAAGCATTTATAAATCATGAGCGGCGACATTTATCAGATTTCGAAGGGTCGTTTATGCACAAACGGTGTGATCACTCCTATTTCGCTATTTCGAGACATTCAGTATGAGTTCGGAAGACATTCGTCAATTGATTACTTTTAACCCTAAATATATGTTCAATCTGACAGGTAGAGTAGAGCCAGTTCGGATTAACAATTCGTCTGAAAGTCCTTTGTTTATGAATGCCCATGTGTAAGATTCATTCCAATGCATCCGGGTATATGGAGCACGTGTACCTACCTAGTCATCTGCTGCGTCGCGTTCTTCATGCGCTTTTGTTCGATAATGGTGGAGGACATCTGTAGGTCATCAGTTGACGTGAGGCTAAGGTTTGAAGAATTACCCCGAGAGGTTGGGAAAAGTGGCTATCTCATACACTGTACAGATTTCCCGATTTCTTGTAACCTATTGGTTGGATGCACTGACGGATATGGCGTTCTTGTCATTTCGTATTTGGTTATATCGTTTGAACTGATGTACGTAGTTAGACTATTCTCTGTATCAATTCCTCATTCAAGCGCGCTAACTTCCAATCAACCTTACACATTCCCTTTGCGTTGCACATATGAGCTTCCTGGTGATAAACGAAGTTCGGTTCACTGATTTCGGGAATAATGGAATCCATTGTACAGTTTACATGTTGCATTGTAGGAAGTGCTTACACATTCAGTTAAGTCAGTTGGAAACTAAAAAGGAATACGGTCGAGTTGAGACATCCTCATGCGTGAAGTTCAAAGTGTGATGGGTTCTATTTCCTCGACAGAGAAAGTCTGCTGCTTCTGTTTCTAGAAACATCAAACCGCTAATCGTCACGGCCAATTTATCATCCACTGTGGGTTTTGGTTATTTACCTAAAGATGCAGCTATTTTATGGGTTCGCATCAATTTTCTTCTGTCTGAGTTCCATCTGATGATGCTTTTCACGTAATACCATTGAAGCTTTTTATGATGGATTGTATGTCTCGCGCGTCTAATATATATCAATTATGCATACTGCTGCAGGTCAATTATAAATGCAAATGGTCTCTGTACTCGATGTCCACGAAATTATCATATCATTGGTCAAAAACGGATGGTGTAAGTAGTTCTGAAGCGGTTTAAATTGTGGTCGGATGCCGAGGTTGATACCCCGGCTGTCTCTTTGGAGTGATACGTGATTCGCTTATTCAGGGCCTAGGGCCTTCAAAATTTGGTTCGGTAATCTACAATAAAATGAACCGAGTTCAGGGTTTGGTTTACGCTGCGCTTGTTTTGCAGCGGAGGAAGTTAATTGTGTTCTGGCCTAAGCTCGTCGATCAGGATGTTGATCCGTTTATGATCGAACACTAACCCGATAAGGCATTTTGTTAAATTTTTGTGCAAAACTATATCGGAAATAGCTCAGAACATAGTTCACATTTCTCAGCAATGGGGAAATGCAGATTTCTTCAGTAAACATGTACAATTCTAAGCTTGAAATAACCTAGGCTGTTTGCTGATATTCCGTTTTCGGTTTCGGTACTGCTCTGCAAGGCTTGTGAGCAACTGCTCGCGATTCGGCGCGGTCTTGCTGACCGAAAGACATGGTGGACGAAACAGGTGTAATGTGCGGCGATTCAATGACCAGACAGGTAATTTTTGCGTAAATTCCACTCTCCAATGATAATCCTTCATTCACATCCTAGTGATGATTTCGCCAAGTGTAATTGTCATTTTCTTTGTTTCTGCACACCCACAAACACATGTTATCCCTGGTGGATAACCAGTTTCACATCACCTACATGACTCTTTCGCTAACATGCGTTCACGTGATTGCTACAGATTTAACTTTTACGAACCAATCACGTTGCGTTGCTTTGATTCAGTCAAATATTTGCTGATATGCGCTTTTCTGCTATGCTTCGCAAGCTTATGAAGCTGATCAGTTTCGTAGAGTAATGGAACAGTGCATTCCAATGCCGAACACTTGAGTTCTTCTTGGTAGTTTTCCAACATTTTGTCTTTGCCAAGTGTGTAACAGCCTTTCATTCGTTTTTAATTTCTTCATCTCTGTCTGAACAAATGGTTATCAAAAAATAATGACCCGGAAACTGAGACTCGTAAACCTGAGTTGTAACGTCTGTGAAAACTGAGACTGAAAGCCGCTTCATCAGTCTTTCCGCATACAGTTCGGGGTCACCCCGAAGACCAAAGAATCATCCGATTCGCAACAGAAAAAAGACTTTCGGATTCTATCGGTCGGAACAGGTCTTGAAGAGCTTTATGAAAAAGTTGAAAGTAACGAAGTGCGTACTTGTATATTGCCTATGTTTAAGACCAAGAGACAATTTTTAGGTCGGGTTCCAATACCGGTTTGCTTCTCAGGCTCTATTAGGAACTTAACAGCCAAGAATTATGCGACAAGGGGAGGTGTGAGAACTGGTTTGCTTGTGATTCATCTCGGGACTCTAGCCAAATATGGTCCGATCGAAATCGCAGGATGGCTCGACGTGAGCAATTGCATCTCACCAGTGTTCTCGTTTATTACTTCACCTGCACTCTCTGTCTTAGGAGATTCAGTAAGTCAAAGTCAAATNTGTGGGGGGGGGGGAGCAGGGATATTTCCTCTATTGTTCTTAACGATCTGAATAATTATTTGGATATCGGATTCAGTTCACGATATCTGTGGACTTTGAAGCGGTTGTTGCTAAGTCTTATGAAGTGTACACACATTTCGATCACGGTAGCTTCTATCAAGCATGNCGAGCCATTCAATTTGCAGTCATCCTCTTTTTACAGATTATTTCAACGGGGATTGTGCTTCATTACAGCATGCTCGAATTGCCTTGCATCTCACAACCTATCAGTTACACGGAATTCTATCGTGAGTAAGTTGCTTGGTTCTCCATTTGATCCTTCAGTTACTTATTGCCAAACCAACCATGCATTTTGGACAGTTGGATCACTGCAGGTTGGAGTGCTCGACATGACTGGTTTTCTTCCGAACCAGGGGGAGTTCATATTGAACGACTGCTGCGTGATTCACCCAGTTCGTTTCTTATTTTTGCCCTGCATCTAACCGTCTTTTGAATCTTTTCCCCACGTTAGGTAATGAACTTTGTGTGGCTGACTGTTCCCGTCTGGAGTTTGATGCACATCCTGTACTTGAAATGTTTGCCGAAGAATATCTCGCATATTGGAAGTCTTTCCATCAACCGGAATCAGAGGAGAAACGACTGCTATATCTGAAAGACTGGCATTATTTCAGGTAGACTGTGTTTGTCTCATATCCCCATTCATAGCTAATTTTTGGAGAATTTAGGCGTCCGACGAATCGGGCATACTACATGGTGCCGGAATTTTTTTCATCCGATTGGTTGAACGAATTCTGGATGATTCGACCGGATTCGGAAGATGATTTTCGTTTCGTCTATTTGGGCACCATGGGCACGTGGACCCCGTTACATGCAGACGTATATCGTTCGTTCAGTTGGTCTGCCAATATTATAGGACAGAAGCGATGGTGGTTCTTCCCACCAGGTAATTTCTTCACTTTGGATCAATTGTGCTTTTTGTTTGTTTGTGCGTCTATATGCATATAAACTTTGTGTTGAAATGAATCGACTTTTGGGGGTATTGGCTCCATTCACTCGGAAAAGGAATCTTTGTCGTGATTGTAAAATATTTCCAAGGTCATCCAGCCACAAGAATTCTCTCTTGATCCCCTCTCGGGTGCGTTTAGAAAGTTCCGAGTTGGGAAACTTATCAAACCAATAAGAGTAGTGATCGGATCAACTACCCCATGGTCAAGTTCATAGTATACTTACGTTCTACCTATGAAGTCTCGGGTTTGGTCCTTGGTTGGGCAAATGGATTTGCACAGCAAATGAGACTCAACTGCGTCGTAACGGCTGAACCCAGTGCTTCCGAGCTTGTCAGTTCACGCTTTGCTTACTCTGTACTCGATACAATGCACAATATCAACCGACAAGATTTGCATCAACGAAACCGGACCATTGTCTACTAAATGTGTGCAATATGAAATACAATGGTTTTTATATTCATCATGATTCTTATTCCCCAACCGTCCAGAACACCTTTCAAAGTGATTAGTTTAAAAATCAGCACAACGTCTCTCCCATACGCGGACGGAGTCACTGTATACCAACGACCACACAGTTCGGTTTATCTCAGCTTCCGACTGTCTTCACTTCACGATTGTTTCAAGCGGTTAGGTGAAAGACATCAACTTAATCAGAAGAGCATTTGTATATCTTCTGAAAAAGCTCTGAGCATACGACAAGAATAATCTTCGAACTAAACTCCGCTTCCAGCCTGTGCCAAACAGGTTACGGTACAGCGATGAAATCTATCCACGACTGAGCAACAATAAGGTTGCTGATATATCCCCCCTTTTCTAGACTTCTCTTTCTTGCAGTATTCCTACCTACGCTACTTGCGACAAGTTAAAATTCATTCATTCGAGCTTGATCACTTGCCGTAAATCTTTCCAGAGTGATCGTTCCCAAATAAAACGGTTTTAAACGACCTAAACACAGATTTTATTATCCAACTGGTGAGTGTGTGCCCGTTTCCCTCTGGGTCTTTTATTCAAAATTATCACTAAAAATCTACCCTACTGTGGGAGCAAGTAAAAAAATAATAAATATTTGACTTTGTCGGTCACTTCTGTTTTTAATGTAGGCGAGGAGGAGAAGTTACATCTGATAAACAACAACCGATTGCCCGCGGATATCCGTGCTTTGGATCTGGATCAATTAGGAATCCGGTACGCAATGTTCGATCAGTTTCCGGGTCAAGTGGTGTTCGTCCCGTCCGGTTGGTATCACGAAGTGTTGAATTTGGTACGTGTTGATTCGCCTTTCCCCCCATCCAACTGTTTTCAATTTATGGAAACCTAGGAATACATGCATTTCGTTGTCTCTTCATGATTTGGGATGAAGAATGCGTAATTCCTTCATCTCACTAAAGGAAATAAGAGGCGCTCCGGTTCCACTATATCAGTCTCTGTAAGTGGTACACGAAACCGGTTGATAATGGGTTCATTTTTCAGACAACCCCAGTTCCTCAGATGGTGATTCAGGCCTTTTTCTCACCCCGAAAAATGCTCTCATGGAATTCGTCTTTTTAGGCTCCTGCTAGGGATGTTCTACCTACCCACCCCCGATGTTTTTTCCACTAAATTCCGAGCGAGGGTCTAGTACCCACTGGATTTTATGCAATTACCTGCTGCAGGAGGGTGATTCGGCTGAAACGATATCTCTAATATGAATTCTCCGCTATCTTTGATCCACGGTCAGATCAACACAGATGGATATACAGCCACCATTTCATTAGTGTCAACCCGTGGACATATTGCTGACTTTGGTTTTGCATGTCCGTGCAGTCGATGACTACTTACACGGTGGAAGGCTCCTAACCTGGGACGACTAGATAGTTTGCAAATTCAACATCCTCAATCCACGTTTTCGGATTTGTTTTTAACTCCCCGGTAGTCAACTAGTTCATGCCATTGCATTCAATTGATGGTGGATTTGAAAACTATTGGTGTCCCGTTGGACTTTTGTATTCAAGCGAAATTCAGAGCAATTAGTAGGGACGAAGGTGTCCGTATAGTATGGCTTCAAACGGTTGATCGTCTATTCCGGTATCCCATAAGTGGTGTCATACGATGTCAATTAATGCATGCTAGTGCTTGAAGTGCGTTCAAGTGTTGTGTACGCTGAGTACACAGCGTGAAGTGTGAGACCGTTTCCTCATAAGTTACGAAACTTATTGATCAGGTGCACCAGAATTTCTTTTGCACCAAATAGTCGGACTCTCAAACGGCCCAAGTCGAATTATCAATTGTCCAATTACAGACACAAGCAGTAGTTAAAAATCACAAATCATTTGCTTAGAGTTCTGCGTAGCTTGAACCAAACTGTAATGTATTGTTGATTGACTGTATTAACCACGTCTACTAGGCTGTCCCCGGATCATCTCCCTGCATATCTGCTATGCAATCAACGTATAGGTGCTCACGCGCGCGCACGGATCAATAGTATACCGTATACGTATGCACTTGAGTAACCGAGCTGTGTTCAAGCTAAGCTGAACTTTACGCTAATGATTTTTAATATGTTTAACTACCGATTGTCTGTAGTTGGGGGACTGATAATTACTTTCGGGCCGTTTGGTGTACGAGAACTGCTCGTGCACATGTGTATCACATGCCGATTGCCATGACGGCTTGAGGAAAGACAAGCTTCTATGAGATCATGTATTTGTTGGTTCCAACACTCACAGTAAAAGCTGTTCGGTATAGCTGAGTTGTCAGTTCACCCGCTTCGACCAGTGGCCTCCGTTTTCAAGCAGCTGGAGTCATCTACCCCCTTGAGTAAGGCACTCAGATCAGTGGGTGATTCTTGCCATGTGCTTGAGTGAGAAAAGCAGTGTAATGTATTGGCCGCATGTGTCCAGCAATATCCTAGCATTCTAGCAAAAGGTGTCAATGGAATCTGTGTGTCGGTTCCCAGATCACTTAAATGGCATTTGAGCAACACTAAGTTGGTCCTGATGTCGAATCGGCAGAGCTTAAACACGTCTCATTCTCAAAAGCTATCATAGAGTGATATATATATATATATATAAATATATATATATATATATATATATGTATAATGATCAGCAGTTTTGGGAAATAGCTAGACCTCGATTAGAAACCTTCTACGAAGAGGCATACAAACCGGATTTAAGATAGTCTGATCGTATGGGCCATTGGCTCGGTTCAGTGATAGAGTGTTATTGTAGTGATCGTCTAACGAACGCGCACGCACCACGGTACAGCTTCGGGTAGCCAGTCGGGAATCAGATTTCCCGATCGATCCTGTGGTCTCAAGTGGCATCAATCGGATTGACTGAATGCAAGAAGACAACCAAATGAGCCATATCGTTGTCGATTGGAGATTGAAGAGTCCAGCAGTGATTGTTTGATGCTTGCTATATTCATTTATATGATTTTCTGAACAGAATTAACTGTATTCAATGCTCGTCATCGTTCTACCTGACTTTGCGGTATTCAGTGTTCTCCCTTCCGAATCTGAGTCCACGCCATTTGATTTCGATTCGTATTGGAATACTGCTGTCATACATTTTGGACATGAGGATTCCTTTACTGGAGTACAAAGTCAGTTTGACCGGATCCCGGACCGAATGGACTACTCTGCATGCACCACCCCATTGTTTTATGGATCAAGCCTCGCCTAGTCCAAGACTTCCGTTGTGATTCGATTAGAAAATTGCCTGCATTTGCCCGTCAGCCCGACAGTGTTATGCCCACAAACATCGTGGAACGATTCTCTTTCCTTAAAGATTATTGCACCACAGTGTTCTTCACAAGTCGTTTGAAAACAAAATGATATCAACTCTCCAGATATATGGTATATATTGTGTCGTCTATATTCTGTCATTTTGATTACGTTATGCAGCCAAGTCACCATACTGCTTCGCTTCTTCCCCTAGAAGTAGAACAATCAATCAACTATTCATGCAGTTTTAGGACATGCATTGATTGTGCTTCGTTTTTGCTGTTTTCTTTCGCTGCAGACCGATTGTGTATCGATCAATCATAATTGGTTCAATGCAACCAATGTAGCTCGGATTTGGGAACATTTACAGGACCAGCTTGAGATGGTTGAAAAATCGACAGAAGACGTACGCGATACGCCTGGTTGGCATGAACAGTGTCAAGTGAGGATAAAATATTACCTTCTGAGATCCATGCAGCGTACCTTGACATGGCACTTACTTCACTTAGTAACTAGTTTTGTTTGAAATTCATCTCTCTCAAATTGTTGCATCTTTTCGTTTTTGCATTAATTGTGTTGCTTATCCAATCGAAGAAACCACTCCGTCGAATTTCAATCCCGCAGGTTCTCTGAATTTTTGACACACGCTAGCCTCGCGCGTAAGTAAAAAGTACCAACAACAGCAGCAGAGAACTATTAACACATAACAATTGTAATATTAACACTGCAGACGTTAGTGGAATCATTCATCATTGCTGCTAAATCCTTTTTGGTGAATATATCCAATCTGCGGTTTTCGTTTAAAGTCAACCTTTCTTCTTGTCTCTTTTTCCGTTTGTTCCTCTCAGATCTGTTTGCGCGCTCTGACTGGGATTAATTTCCACGAATTCTTGGTTCTACTCAAGTACATCCTCATATCTCGATGGTCTTATACAGACCCTATTCCACTGGATTCTTTGCTCACACCGCGCGCCGATGGACATATTGCACAAGAGACTGAATCTCTACTCTCGTTTGAAAAACAACTGGATGTCGCATTTTGTCATCGGTTTGATGTGGATTCCACTGTACTTGACCGTGCTAAGGATTTGCCCCTGGAAAAGGTTTTCAGTGATGTCAATGAGCAGTTGGGCTCAGTGGAATTCAGTTCAATTGACTGGCTTCCTAGGCTGGATTTTTGTAGTGCTGCATCTGTACTATATTCTTTTTGCAAGCATCCCAGAGTACGCGATTTGCAGTTGATTGGTGATAGCATCAAACGGCGCCTGAACGCTATCAAATGGATCGATTGATTTTAATTTTTTTTACCATAACTTTTGTTTATTTTGAAATAAAAAGTATCGGTCTAATGTATTGGTGTTCGTTATTACGTTAACTCGACAGATTGATCAGCTGAATCGTCGATGGCTGTCGTAGTGTATGGCTCAACCGTTCTTGCATTGCATTTTCCCATCCAAATTTTCGCGGATATGCACTTTCATGCCTGTTTACTGTTTAGTATCAGCGCGAGAGGAGATCTGGTTTCGTGTAGTACTGCAGCCCTTCGGAGTTCACTCATCAAGTAAACTTTCCGTTCAATAAACTTACTATCAACTATTGGGTTAGTAGTTTAGAACGTAATTGTTTGATTTGTCATCGTGCAACTCAAGTTATTGTGCGGTACATATAACGGTGCACGAACAAATCTGGGTGTATTCTTTATAGAGGTAGCATCTAAAACTTATTCTGATTGTACTTTTTGACAAGTGGGTTGATGGAGTAGTTCTTAGGTGTTAAGCACATGTAAATGAAGCGAATTTTTAGTTGTTTGCACGAGAGGGATTGCGTGTAACGGGTGAAGTAGAGGCAATTTTTTCTAACATCTTATTGTAACAGATCTGTCACCAATTGGGAAGTGGATTATTCAAATAGTTCAACTTTGTTGTTCCACGTAGCATAGTTCTATAGTGGTGTGGCGGAATATATATGTGAGTGTGGGACAAGTGCAATTATTTTTTTTGAGAACATAAGAGTGATGTGTTGTGATGATGTTCTTGATTGATACCAGGACAGAACGCGTCCAGTAGAATGCGGTGATATACCAGCGCATCACAGATTTCCTAGCCAATCGATCCTGTTACTACTATGTATCGCACATCGGGTGTATGCGGATATGCACGTACCGGAGTAAGGTGTGAACTCATTCCGAGCCGTCTGTCCTACTTCCAAGGCATCTCATACGTTGTACGTGGTGACGTAACAACATGCATGTACGTTTCAGCTAAAATTCTACTTTTCGGAATCTAGTCGGAAGCAAACAGCAATTTCAACCTTCCTTTCGATTCTCTTTTTTATTGCATCTGTGTTTGTCTCCCGAAATGTTTCAGCATTATTTTTCTTCGTTATTCATTTAAAACCTATTCTGACGAGTTCATGCAAGCTCTATATAGCTTATGAAAATTGGCGAACCAACATCACTGGTGTTGTTCAATAAAACACCAGATCAGTTCGAAACACTCCCCCGGGCTCGGTTTGCCCCACCTCATTTCTCCTTCGAAATACAGTTATTTCTACGACTCCGTTTAGAGTTACAGAGCCTGTTGATAGACACCAGTCACATACAACATTTTACGTGATGGAGTGCTGCTTACGATCAGCTGTCGATCAAAACCGGACTGTTTGTCGTCTTACTATCTGGTTTATTCTGGATTGCACGGACTCCATTGTGGGTGCTCATCGATATGCATGAGTGAATATCATCACCTGGAAGGAGGGGGAGGGTGGATTGGCGTATATTTATGTTCAAATATCAAGTAGAGTTGATCAAATAATAAATCGCAGTTAGAAACCGTTCATTGAACGTTCATGGTTTTCTGGTTAAAAATCATGATATTTTAATAGCAGGAGGTGGTTCATACTAATGGTATTCGTTTTCAAGCATGCATTCAAAAATCTGTGCCACAGGAATGGCGGAAAAATCGGTACAATTTGTGATTTGTATTTTAGCGAAGTGTATAATGTGTACAAGCCCAATAACATGCACTTCACTAAAGAAAGAATCCATGCACGTACTATGACAAGAAACGTAACAGACCCAAAAACCAAAGTTTTCAATTTTCAGACATAAAAACCAAAATGATCTATTGTTCCCGTGTTAGGTAGAGTTTAGGGGAGGTGCTTGTTTTACGACTGTACGAGATGACGTGTGCCGGAATTCCTAAGGAGGGACGGGAACGGCTGTGTGCTTATCCAGTGCCCACCGTTTTGTATCCACAAGATTCCTTTTCATCAAGCTGACGCAATAAATTTTGTGGTGGTCAGAAATTTTCACAATGAACTCTCATACAACTCAGTCATTAAATCCTGCCGTTTTCTCTAACAATATGCCGAAGAAAACAAGCTAAGAGAAAGCACTAATGGAAGATAAAAAAATACAGATTGGAAAAAGAAATAACTGGTCTATGTTACAAAGTTTTCACTACTCTTGCATTTGAAGTCTTAGGGGCGGCAGTTTCCAAACGCTATTAGGATTCTGAGCTGACCAACGAAAGTTGTTGACCATAGTGACCACAAAGTTTCCAGAGTTCACTCTGGTTAATGACTTGATATTGATCACTCATACACACTAAATATAATGAGAGTATAAGGAAACAAGCCAAATTTGGGGCGAGCTGACTCTAGAAACCTAGTTGAAGGCGGAATAAATCAATAGGCGCAATACAGCATACGCATTTTTCAATAAAGTCTTTATCTTTGAGGACGAAATAAATCGCTGTAGATTGCATCCAAAGTGGATCTCTGTGTTGCTTGTAAGCGAACTGTGTTGGATTCTGGGGAATTTCTACCAATTACTGTTGACATTAGGAATACTTAATCGATTTTATTTTCACAGATGTGAACAAACATATCGAATAAACATGTTAAGTGGAGGACTACTTGTCAGAGCCTTTGGTGCCGGTGTAATTGTGATTGATAACTAACCTTCTGAAATACCAGCATTACGAATCGATTCACTTACGATGGATGTGACTGTTGAAGCGTGGAAAGCAACAATGATCCTTAGGTCCCCATTCAGGGAGCCGAACGCCAGTAATAGGACCAAGTCTCCTGGTCAAGGATTTTATACCCTCACGCCAGGTCTTACTTTGACCAGCCTTAGACTTTCGCAACCCACCATCTAGCCTCAGCAAACATCGCGCCTTGTGGTAATCAATTTGGTTACAGGCGTAACACGTTTCAACCGACATAATCGATGGAGGTCGATCACTTTCTCCAATGGGCGACCGCGATTATCTCAAATTCTGTAGTCAATTTCAGCATTGTTCATCCGGTTGCTATACCAGATTCGTGCAATCCGACGTAGATAGTGGGCCGCTGGATGTCGCAACGGTACCAGAAACAGTTACTTCTGATTGGCCAAAGAGTACGACATTGTGAGTATCAAGATCGCGTCCTCATCTGACAGGTTTTTCCTCTGTTCCAAGGTCAACCTGATGCCTTTCCACAGATGTGTGTTTTTGTCGATACTCAAAAATTGAATCGCTTCATTTCGGCTTTGAAAAGCCTAAAGAAGTGTCTGAAGGCCGAATCACCATGGAACTTATATCCACGTTCGTTTTGTTTACAGTAAGAGAGTGGCAATCCTGGACAAAACTTTGCTGCAAATAGCGATAAATTAGATGAAAAGTATGAGAGAGCCATTCTACGAGGTTCTTTAAAAGGATAAATATTTGTGAAACTGAAGTTGAAAAGTCAAAATCGGGAGATCGAGAAAGTAGAACTCATAGATACTTTGTCACTTTACTTCAGGTTAATCCAGGATCAAACAGTGGTCTCTAGCAGGAAATAATTCTTTATGTCAGCAAAAAGAGCTTGGGTGGATAGCAATAGCTCTGTCTAGTTTATAATTATTCCTTGAAAAAGATCAACCGTGAATCATGACTGATGAATAGGCATAACTGTTAGTGACATAAATTAATATACAACAACTCCGACTCATCACCTCTACCCGCGGAATCGATTTGGACAAACGTGTGCATGGTTGG